CCCCCCGCGCCTCCTCAGGGACCCCGGGCGTTTCGCCCCCGCGGTGCCGGGCATTGCCCTGGGAGGTCTCGGTTTCTGCAGTTGCTCTGAGGCCACAGGTTTCTGTGGCGCGTCTCCCCCGTGTGCCAGGCACCGTGCTGCGCACAGCGGCGCGGGGCTGCTCGTCCTCAGGGGATCCCGGTCTGGCCGGGGCGGCAAACCCGCCAGAGGTCGATCATTGCAACCCCTTTGGGATAAGGAGACCGTTGAAGTGTCCGTGCACCAAATATGTCTGTGCTCTGGGTGATCCTGTCCAACACCCCGAAGAAATGTACCAAGGAGATGTCGAACTAGGGCCAGGTGTGGTGTGCAAGCCCAGGCCTCCACATTGGAGCAGGCTGCGTAAAGATCGAGGGGGGAGAGGCCTGGGGCCGGGATCTCTTTCTGGAGCAAGAGTAGTCTCAGAAGCGGCACAGCTTAGCAGGCCAGCGTGGGGCGGCTGCCTCCTTTACCCTGTGTGAGGATGGCTCACCCTGAGCCAGTTTGCGGCTCACTCCGCCCAGCTCCCTGGAGACCACTGGGAGCAAGCCTGGCCTGGGGAAGGTAGGAGAGGGCCCTGCTGTGACTGTAGGTAACTGCTTGCTTTCGTTTCTTCAGTACCCTTTCCCTGTTCACCGGTGACTCTGGTTTTTGTGCTTCAGACAGCATCGATGGCAGCAGTGTGACAGTCACCCCTGGGCCTGGAGAGCAGACCGTTGACATTGAACCGTAAGGAAAAGCCAATTACTCTTTAGAGCGGAAGCCTCAGCTGAGGAAAGGGTTGAGGAACTTTGAGGAGTGGAGTTAATACTTCTGGGGTCAGAGTGGCCCCTGAGGGAGAAGTAGTAGGATTGTGATATTTCTTGAGTACTATTGTTTCTCTGAAATCGCCAGTGTTTCAAGGCCTTTGCCAGAGATTAAATGCATAGTGATGCATGAAGCCCTGGATTCAGAGAACCCAGCATCCCCATCTCCTGCTCCACGGGCCATTTGGGTTGTGGTCACGTGCTCCCCCATCCCCAGTGACATTTAGGCATCTCTCTCAGGGTGCCCAGCTCTCTACAGGGCTTCTTCCAAATGTCCTTGCTTCCCTGTTCCCTTCCTAAGATTCTTGGCCAGCCCTCCAAATGAGCTTGTGGGTGAGTGGTGAGGGTATAATGGAAGGGAAAGTGCTTATTTGCATGAAAAGGGGCCCTGTGGTAGAGCGCTGAGTAGATTGAGTTGGGAATCAGAAAACCTGAGTTCCAGCACCGATGTGCTACTTCATCTTACAGTATTAACCTTTGTAGGCTTTAGTTAACTCGTCTATTAAGTGGGAATGCTTTCCACTGCCTTGATCACCTCACAGATCTTTGATGGTTTCAGATGAGATGATTTATGTGAAAGTGGTCTGAAAAAGATGAAAAATGAAATAAGCACTTTGTAGCTGTCCCATTTCTCCTGTTAAGTGGTATTATCAGCTATGCTCTTGGCAGCTGTTCCCTTGGAATTAGCACCCTCCCTCTCTCAGTCAGAGAGCAAAGAAGCCCCAGCTGACTTCTCCCTTGCTCCCTGCAGCATCTCTCCCAATCTTAAAGCTGCTTCTTATCCCAGTGAGAGGGCCATGCCTGGAATCTTAGGATCACACTGTGAGGAAATGCCCCTGCGTTCTTCTGGCAGAAGGAGCTGGTTTCCTTCTTTTTCAAGTTCCTGACAGTTGCCCTTGGCCTCAAATGGAAGACCACACTGTTGTTTTTTCTTGTCATTAAAGGCGCATCAACATTGGCTTGAGATTCCAAGCAGAGATCCCAGAACTCCAGGATGTCTCTGCCGTGGCCCAGGACACACACAAGGCCACACTGGTCTGGAAGCCCTGGCCAGAGCTGGAAAACCACGACCTCCAGCAAAGAGGTATTGGCACGTGGGAAGAAGTGGGCAGGGAAGGCTTGAATCTCACTAGGGCTCTGGCTCCAGGATCTGTGTGTTTTTCCATGATACTGAGCTCTCTGATGCAGTGGCCTCTCGTTCCCCACAGTGGAGAATCTCCTGAATTTGTGCTGTTCAAGTGCGTTGCCAGGTGGAGGGACCAATTCTGAATTTGCTTTGCACTGTCTCTTCGAGGCCAAAGGTGATGTGATGGTAAGGAAAAGTAGTCTTCACAGTTCCTCTTCATCATGTCAGAATTCTGAGAAGTATTTCCCAAGTTCCTGGGTCGGCCCGTGTACCATGCAACTAATTGATACGGTGTTGTCCAGGCCGCATACTGCCTGTTCCTTATTTAAAAGCTTGCAGGACACCTCCAGTGGGGCTTCTGTTTGTGCATCTGAGTAATAATTATGAGCACCTGTGTCTTGGGAAATTAGGATTACTTTCAGCACTCTCGTATTTTACATCATGAAACCTCTCCAGTGATGGAGGCAGGTCGTCCTGAGACAAATCTTGGTCTAAAAGAGCCTGTCACACTATGCTGGTCATCCTTCCCTACTGTGGAAATCAGCCGGAGTTGATGTTCGTAGAACCGTTTCTTCCCTTAACCAAAGTGGAGCATTTGCTTCATTCTCCGACCTTTGACATAGTTCTTTGGTAAAACCCGAACTGTGGTGCCATCTCCTCAGAATCAGAGCTGACCATTTGCCTGCTCAACCTGGACTCCTGGTGGGATCACTCAAACGCTAATCTCCCCTTTAGTAAATACGTGATTCTTGTACCAGATCTAGCTACCTGCTTTGATTTCATGTAAATCAGCAAATGCTACCTTCTCATGAGGTGGTTATACCCTTCAAGGGTTTTCTAGAATGTTGGAGAACTCTCCTTAACCCTTTCAGCATAGTGTCGAAGAGCAGCACTTGTCGAACTTTTACCTTGCACACAAGTCACTCGGGGAATCTGGTTAAAATGTAGGTTCTTAATCAGCAGCTCTGGAGTTGGGGCCCGAAGTTCTGCCTTTTCCCACTCGCAGGGGTGCCCGTGCTGCTGACCACACTTAGAGTAGCAAGATTCTAGACCTTGCCCTCCCTGTCCAGGCACTTCCCCTTGACCAGGAATCGAACCCTCAACCCTTCAGTGCACTGGCCGATGCTCTAACCATTGAGCCACACCTGCCACAGCCACCTGCAGCATTTTTTTTTTTAAAAGTCAACAAGGCTGTAGGAGGCAAATTTGAAAGGGTAAATTTTGCTAGGCTCTCTGTGGGGACAGTGTCTAGTACAGTTATCACTAATACATCTGTTGATGTTCAGTTGTAATGAAACGTGATTTTTTTGTAGAAACAGTTCCAAATCACCCACTCACTTCCTCAGGATCTTTTCCCAGAGACTCAGCCTCCACTTAGAGGAGGCCTCACCATCTTTCTAAGGCTGAGGCCCTTCACCAAGAAGGGCATGGGGTGTCAGGCCTGACCAGCTGGTTGCAGGCATGGGCTGGGAGAGGGTTAGAGTGGCAGGCCCTGTTGAGTGCTGACCAGAAAGGAACCCCCAATTAGGGGAGGTCTCCCTCTGGTTTTCCTTCTAGTGCCCCCAACCACATGGTCTGCATTGCCAACCCCTTTACCCCATTAGGTAGGTAGGTCTCAGGACACAGACCCATTACTGACTCTTGCCTTTTCTCTCCATGGGTCTGCAGGCTGCTCTGGAAATGCTGCTGCTGCGGAAACCAGTCAGGTTAAAATGTCATCCTTTAGCCAATTACCACTATGCCGGTAGGTCGCCAACAGCCCCGCGCCCCATTGCTTCCTGTGAGCGGGCTGGTTGCATGTTTGGTTGTGTTGATTTTTAATACCAGCACTGATTCAGTCCTAATCATCACTTTTGATATCGAGACTTCCTGAGCGCAGCTGATGGGGCAGCTGTTGTTGTCTGGGCACTGCTGGGCATTTGTCTGTGTTGGCTTCTGCCCCTGTGGGATGTGCCAAGAGCTGGGCAGTAGTGGACAGCGCCTGCATGGGTGGGCAGTAAGACCTGTGCATCTGGGAAGAGCCACACAGAGCACAGCACAGGGGCAGCAACACTCAGCATCCCCTCAGCTCTAGGGCCAATAGATGTGGATTCAGATCTTACTTGCACCTTTGGCTTTCTGCAGCCTTCATTTTCTCCCCTGTAAAATGGGGCTTATACCCCGTCTCTTACAATGTTTTGTGAAGATTCAAGATAGTATATATAGCCCAATGCCTGGCATGTTCTAGAGGCCATTATTCATTTATCTAACAGTTATATATTGAGCACTTACTGTGGACTATGCTAAGCACTAAGATGAAACAGTGACCATGACAGACATAGACAGTCCTACCTCGTGTAATGTGGAGTCTGAGGAGGAGGCAGTTATTAACAAATCACACTGAGAGCAGAAGAAATGGTACATATATGTATACATACACATATACAAACATGTACATATACATTAGCATGTCTTGTGAGGGTTAGATCAACAGTGACATCACCAATAAGAGGGAGGGAGAAAACACCTTCAAGAGTTGAATGGAGTGAGAATCACGAGAGAAGGAAACAGGTTTGGGAGCCTAAGAGATGACAAATGAAATTGAAGTCAGTATTTCTATTTCCGTTAACTTGTAAACCCGTCCATTGAGGGTCTCGCCATCCATTCTGAGAACCTGCCTGGGTTCTTTCTTTCAGAGGGGCCTGAATCCTCCAATGCCTCTTGATTGTTAATCACTTGTATGTTTCCTTGGGGCCTTGGGCAGACCCTGCCCAGGTAGGTGATAGGTACGTTAGTGGGTTTGGGGCACTAGGAATGCCTTTTCCAGTCCTTGGTTGAGAGGGCCAGGTAGGTCACTGTAGACCTACCTGGCCCTCTGAACCAAGACCTACCTGTCAATGGAGCGCTCACGGTGGGCATCCCGTCCCCACCACCATTTGCCTCACTTCACATGCTCTTATGAGTTGGCCTTCCTGCCTGTCATTGCAGGGTGGAAAGGCCTCAGACACCACTCATCTGAGCACAGCAAGCACTGCACACAGGCCACCACTGGAACTGGGCAGGGACAAAATACACACAAAGGATAAGAAATCCATCATTTAACTAGTGACCTAATGGAGCAGTTTCTTAATATTGTCCCCATCACTTCCTGCTGAGTGTCTGCCCTGAGTGCGGGCAGGAAGATGTGGGAGTTCTCCCTAATCTGCCTTGGAAACAATTTAATCCTCCCCTAATTCCGAGTGTCATCTGCTGCCCATTAGACCCTGACAGGCTGTCCAGCCCCCTGGAGCCTGTCTCAAGCTTTTTTGCATAGTGGGTAAGACAGTTGGTTGGTGAGCAGGAGCTTCGGAGCCATCTGCTGTGAGATGCAGCTGCTCTGGGCCCTCAGGGTGACTGGGGTGGCCCTGCCTCTAGGCTGGTCAACTCCAGCTGTGAGCATCCTCACCTGGGACCCCTCCAGTTCTTCCCAGTGTGCCAAGCAAAGATTGTTATTTTTTATAAGTGATATGACATCAAAAAGGTTAGAAAGCTGGGGACTAGAAACTACTACTCCCAACCCCAAGCAAAACAAAGCAAAAACACTAAAATAGTACCAAGAACTTTGAAATTAGAGGGCCCTAAACTCTGCTAAAATTAATTGGTCAATTGGGGTTGGGGGTTCCTAGCTAACCCTTTGCCCACCCTTGGCTCCCTGCCCCCACAGGCAGACCAGGAAGGGCTCTGTTGCTTCCAGGAATCATTTCTCCCCTTGGGGGCAAGAGAGGTGGAGCTGAGGGGTGAAGGGTTGGTATCTTGCTAGCTGTGTGTCCGTAAGAAGAATGCTCACCTACATCGGCCAGTCATTTGCCTTCTCTGAAGTGATCACAGACTGGGCCCCAGAGAATCTTCTGGAATTATGAGCAAAAAGGGCAGAGATCACTGGTCTCTAAAGTCTGACCTGACTCCATTCCCTTAGCATTTCCCTTCCAAGCCACAGGGGAGCCACAGAATTTATCCCCATCACATGCCCCAGCTAGTAACCACTCCCTCCTTGCCCCCTTCCCGTGCTCCTTATTTGGGTGCAGGGTGCTGATTAATCCCATCCCTGTGGCCCCATCCTGCCTTGGCCTCTGTGCCAAGCCACATTGGGCTGCTCTCCACTGGAACTGCTTGTCAGCTCACTTCGTCACCAGGACAGTATCTTCTGGGTGACCTTTGGCTTTTGTCTCTGTGGCCGTGGCCAGCGTCAACCCACCCTGATTCCTGTCCCTGGAAATGTACTCCCACTTGTATTGAGAGGTAGGTCAGATCTCCTAGGCTGTCTGTGCTTTGGAGAGGAGGTAGAAAGAAGGCTCAGAGAGGGAGGCTGCAGATTTGGGAGAGACAGACCAAGACACAAGCCTGTGAAAATCACTTCTCTTCTTTACTCATGACCTTCCCTTTCCCACCCCATCCCAAGAAGTTCAGTAAGAAAAGGAAAAAGTGACTGATGCAGGGGCCCAATAGAGACACCAGTGTGGGTGGGCAGCTTGCCCAGGTCTAGGGGCTGCGTGCTGAAGCCAGAGGAGCCCTGTTGAGATCCTCAGGAAAGTTCTATTGCAGTAGCTCCCTGTGCTCTTTAATTCACACAAGGTGCCCAGTCCAACCCTTTCTCAACACCCTCCACCCAGGTGTGGGTAGCAGTCATTTGCAATGGCTCCCCACTGGCAGATGGATTCGGGGGACAGCGTAAATCTGGGGAGTCAAGGTGAGAAGACTCTTGGTTGTGATGAGGCCACCCACAGCATCCCTGGTTTTCCATTGAACTGGCCATTCCTGCAGATGGGCACGGAGTGCAGGGGGTGTCAGAACTTGCCCTGGGCTGCTTGACCAGGGTTCAACAGAAGCTGCTCTTGGCTCCCACCACAGCCCAAGTGGTCCCTGGGTCCTGAAGCCTGGCCTCACTGGAGATGACGGAGACCCGGAGAAAATAAACACCCACTCGGTTGGGGGAAGCCTGCTCTGTCTTGGAAGCTGCGCCAGTTNAGGGGACAGCGTGAACCTGGGGAGTCAAGGTGAGAAGACTCTTGGTTGTGATGAGGCCACCCACAGCATCCCTGGTTTTCCATGGAACTGGCCATTCCTGCAGATGGGCGCGGAGTGCAGGGGGTGTCAGAACTTGCCCTGGGCTGCTTGACCAGGGTTCAACAGAAGCTGCTCTTGGCTCCCACCACAGCCCAAGTGGTCCCTGGGTCCTGAAGCCTGGCCTCACTGGAGATGACGGAGACCCAGAGAAAATAAACACCCACTCGGTTGGGGGAAGCCTGCTCTGTCTTGGAAGCTGCGCCAGTTTAATGAGGAGACAGAATGACATACTCCGGAGAATACTTTTCAAGAAACACAGCTGTGATGTCATTTTCCAGGCGTTCTTAACCCATGTCTGTAGCTGGAGAGAGGCAATTATTCAGCCTCCACTCACTATGGAAAACCTTTCATGGAAATGAAGATCTGGTATAAAAGTCCTTTTTCTACAATGAACATGGTTCTTGCATAACTGCAGTAACAACAGCATCAGTAAAAGTTTGTCATCTTGAAAGGAAGACAAGAAGACCCTCTTGAAAAGATGCTGTGCCCAGACTTTTTCTCCCCTCCATGTCTGTTCAGTCGCCAGGATTAGCTATAGATTGCCCCAAATTTAGCCACAGTCCAGAGCCTGTTTCCCAGCAACGAACGCTCAGAACTTTTTTCCTCTGGATACTGTTCCAGCACTAGTTTCCTCCAGTTAATTAGGCTCTTTGTAATTAGCCTTAATCGTCTTTTTAGGGGCCCCTGCTGATAATAGCCGATAGCCAGGAATCCCCAGGTAGAACAAATGAGAGCGGGGGCCTGCCAACCCACTAGCGCTGTGTGCCTGCTGAGTGGACAGCGGGGATGAGAGAGGAAGGCCAGCGGAGCGTCGGAGGCAGCCCCCGCCTCAGCTTTGCATTTTATCCTGGACTTTGTCCAAGATGCACAGTCTAAGAAGGGCTTGCATGGAAAACCTTGTCTGAGAATGAGGAGAGTGCCCCCGCCAGCATCGAGACTGCAAGGATGAGAGATGCCTGGGCCTCTTCTTGGAGGGCAGGAACTAGAAGGCTGGAAATTGGGGGTGCCAGGAGTAAATCTATGGGTTCATTCACACACACAGCAGGAAACCTGGCCAAGCCCCGCCTTCTGCATGCCACTGATGCTTGGGTCAAAGGGGACAGCGTGTGTCTCATAGCTGCAGGCCAGTTGAGATTTAAAACATTCACTGTGTATCTACTTAGGGCCAAATGCTGTCAGTCACAGCGTGATTGTCCCAATCCCCATGTCACAGGAGAGGAAACTGAGACTGAGAGAAGTTAAGTAAACTTGCCTGGGGCCACAGAAGGAGTAAGTGGCAGAAGCAGGTTCACAGCCTGTGGTCTCCTGATTAAAGTCACTCCTTTGTATCACAGTGACATTTGGGGAGTGTACACTCAGGTGTTATTTTTGTATACCAGGTTTTAAGCTGGAAATTCAGTCTAGCAGCCCAGGGGTAGATTCTCAGCCCAGTGGGGATCCCGGATCAGGGTGCCTCTGCTTATGGATTCACAGATGCCCTTGCGGGACAGACACATGCACACAGCACTATCATTTGCATTAAAGCTGGGACCCTCAGATGACAAAGGGGAGCCATCTCTACTCTGAACGCATGCTCCCTGCCCCCGCAGCCCTGGGAATGGGAGGGTGACGCGGCAAGAGAGTGCAGCCCACTTCCAATCCAGGACTGGTGGTACGGAATGAACACTGAGATGAGGAAGACTGAAGACCCCACCACAGAGCAGCAGCCCTAAAAGCCACCAAGGAGTCGGCAGGGGGAGGTCTTCTTCCCCCAGGAAGCTCAAGGATCCTCTGTAACAGAGGGTCCAGGAAGTCACTTCACCTGGGTAGGGTTGCAGCTAGCGAGCCATTTGGGGACATGAAGGGACATGCTTCTCACAAGTAGACTTGGGAATTTAACACGGCTGTGTAGGCAGTAACCAGGTGATGAGCCTGGTGTAGGGTGGAAGAAAGCACCCCCCGTAGAGGTGGCGCTGGCCTGAGGACCCACCGTGGCCCTGTTCGTGTCTCACCGAGTCTTAGCTGTACCCAAACTCGGGAAAGATGGTCTGGCTGAGGGTGGGAAGGATCCACGTTCACCTAGTTGGGGGTTTTCATCAGCAGAATGTCCCCTGATTCCCCATCTGAAATGCAACCCAGAGCTCCACAGACTCTGGACCCATAGCCAGGCAGCACGTCAACCTCTTTATAAACTTGTGCCGGGATTCCACCACTGTGATGTGACCCTGTCGTGATCCTCTCCCACCGTCACCTCTCTGATCTCTCTCTGCTGTTTTGATGGATACCTGAAAGGAATCAAGACTCCTCTTTGGTTGGTCCACTAAATGGTTGGCTGGTCCTTTCTGCCTCTCTGTCTCTGCCCCTGGGTAGGGGGAGCATATGGGAGCTGGGACCCCCAGGCCTGGAATGTTGGACAGAATTTGAGGAATGGTGATGGACCTGCTCCAGAGCCCCAAATCCCACCACCCTCCTCTGCTCACGTCCACTCCTGCAAAGCTTCTCTAAACACCCACCCTCTCCTCTCAGTTGCGGTGGTTCTCACAGCCAGAGGTGTCCCGGCCTCCAGAATCTGCCGAAGATGCTTCCCTCTGCTGAGAATGAATCAGAAAACCGCTTTCCTTCTAGAAGTAAAGAGACAAATGAAATCAGGTGATGGCCCTGATTTTTCAGAGGTTTGAACCAGCCCAGCTGTGGAGAGCATATTCTGAGTCAGGAGTCAGAGCTCTTGGCCTGAGGACCCACCAGGGAGTCACACAGAGAAGGTGTTTATTCCAGAAATCTGAATGTACAGCTCTGAGTCACGTATTCCAGGATCTCCACTGCTGCCTTCCCAGAGTGGTTTCACCTGATTCACTAATTTTGGCGGAATCTTCCAAGAGAAGAAGCGGTTCAGGTTTCCTGTGTTTCAGCCCCATCAGTAAACCCTGTACTCAACCACACTGGATCCCTGCTCATTCCCCGAACACCTCAGCTGTAAAATGGAAATCTTGGGCCTGTCCCGGTTGGGAAGAAAAAATACTCTGGTTTGGGGGATGACAGCTGTGAGAAGTGGAGGAATGTCGAAAGCCCAGCCATGTGCCATCCAAACAGTCAGAAATGGGAGAATCCAAGCAGCCAGAGGAGTGAGGCTGACTTTCTGCAAACTGGCCACTGTGACTGAGCACTGGAGCCCCCAGAAATAAGACTCCACTTAGAAATAGGCCTGTGTCTTGCCTCAAACGGCCCAGCACCATTCTCTACAATTATCTGCATATCCTGCTTTCTTGTTTATGGAGGAAATAGGCATGAGTGTCAGGTTCAGCCAGCAAGGTAGATGCACCAGCCCAGCATTGTGGGGCCTCTTCCTCATTGGTCTGCCGACCTGTCCCACTCACCTCTCAGCCTCATCTGCTCTCCCTCCGCTGCAACCCTGTACTGAACCACACTGGATCCCTGCTCGTTCCCCGAACACCTCAGCTGTAAAATGGGTAATGGTAATACCAGTCTTACAGGGTTGTTGGTAAAACCAGATGATTAATATCTGTGAAGTACTTAGAACCTGGCACACAGTAAGCACTTACGAAAGTTAGCTTTATTCCCCCAGCACAGCTTCTTACACATAGTAAACACCTAATAAATATCTGTTGAATGGATGGATAGATGAAGGAAGGAATGAAGGCGTAAACGAAGGGACAGATGAAATGCATCCTCTCACTGCTTGCCTCTGACTTCACGCACACACTTCCTCTCCCTAGAATTCCCTTCCACCTCCTTGCTGGCTGCCTCCTGTGTCCTTGAAAACTCAACTCGGGTGTTTTCTCTACCTGCAAGCCTCCTGGCTGCCCTGGCCCTAACCTGAGTGCGCCGTTCCTCCTTCATGCCCCATTGGCACCTGACCTCTACCTTCATCATGGCGGTCATCACCTTGAATGCAGTGGGTCACTGGTTTGTCCCCCCCACTAGACTGTGAGCCTCTGGAGGGTGGAGGCTGCTGAATCCACCACATCTTGAGGAGTGCTTGCCACATGAATGCTTGCACTCATGACCATCCTGATTACATAAAAACTGGAGCTGAAGTTTGTTGAATGCTCACTGTTTTCCAGTTACTAAGCTTGACAGTGTATGCATCGTCTTTAACCTTCTTAAATATCCTAAAAGGTGGGGACAATTAGAATTATTCCCATCTATTGGCAACAGAAGCGAGTCTTCAGTTCAGTAATGTGCCACGGCCAAGGCCATAGCTAAGATGAACCCAGGTCAGGGCTGCTGAGCATTGCCCTGCATAGGATTTTGTTCAGAAAGGAGGATCGATGGTTATTCAGTTATTTGTTGAGCAGTTTTATTTTGTAACTTAGTAACTAGGTGGGGAGAACTGGGAAGCTGGAACTAGCATAGGGGAGAACTGAGAGCCATTCTTATCAAGTGTATGTTTTGTTGTAGGTTCGGACAAGTGGACCTCCATAGAAAGAAAACTGTTTAACAAAGCACTAGCCACTTACAGCAAAGACTTTATTTTTGTACAGAAGATGGTAAGCATGCTCTTTCCCATTGCTTGCTTGAAACTGAGTTTGGGAAATTGTACACCTAACGATTATATAGAAGTATTTGGTTACCGGCTTCATACTCTCATTACAAGGATGTCTTCCACCCTTGCTGGGGAAGGATGGCATTTGTTACGGGGTGGCATGGCCCTGGTGTCAGAGGTGTGGGGGAGGAGGGTATAGACTATTTGGATATGACAGTGATGGGGTTATTTTTATCTTAATAAAAATGTGTAATGTATACTTTCTATTAGGATAAATAGAATGGGGGCTTCTGGTTCACAATTTACATAATTTATTTTATGTATGTTTGACCGCTCTATCATGTTCCTGATAGAATTTTTTTCTGGGAAATTGGAAAAGGGAGGGTATGTGCCCTCCTCCCACAGCCAGTGGTTTCTGGTGTTGGACCCCCTAATCATAATAACAGTAATAGTAAAAATAATACTTTACATATAAAGCACTTCACAGCAAAATAGAACTCTTGCACATAGATGAAGTAGCACTTTATACAGCAGACAATAAACCTAACAGGCCTTACCTGGCTGAGAGTTGTTTTAGGCTAGAAGTTCAAATGATTCGAAGTGTGTTTCAGCAGACCGATGGAGCCATGTTATATTATTAGGTGATTAAGGTGTTCAGGTCCCCAGAGAACAGAGTCACGAGTGACACAGCTCCCCTGGCTCCGAGCTGGCCAGTGGTACCAGTGGTGTCCCAGTACATGTCCTTAATCAGGGACCTTGAACGAGAATCCAGATAGGTGGACTTTCTCAACAGCTTGCATCTGTCTCCAGATCTGTGTCACTCTTACCTCTCCCTGCCTTGGAGGCCACCACATTCTCTGCCCAGCAGCTCCCATGCTCTGGTCTTTCTTGAGTCACCTTCCCCAAGGTGACTGAGCTGCTCTAGGCCTGATTCCTTGAAGGCCTCACACCTGTTGACTGAGGACAGATTCATGTGTCACGCTTGTCAGGCGGCACAGGTTTTTGAGCAAGGTATCGGGTGGATGGGAAGGGGCAGCTTTGAGGAGATGAGACCTCTGGTGGTGTCCTCCTCATCTCACCGTGCAGGGAGCTGTGTCCCCACCCCCAAGGGCACTGCCATCCTTGTACCTGCCCACAGAAAACCCACATTATCCACCCACACTTTGAGCTTAGAGATGTATGACCTGAAAGGAATTTCCCTATAAAACATATTGGCCTTTTACCCTTTGGGGGAGAGCAGAGCAAGGCTCGTTTCCTGCAAAAACTAAGCTCTTGTCAGTATAACTTTGCCTTATGTTCCTGTTCTATGACTAAGGAACATTCCTCATAAATAGATTTTGAAGGTCAGCGAGTCAGACAACCAAACACATTCAAGGGTGTTTCATGCAAACGCATGCTGCTTTTCAGGTTATAAAAAGGAATGCCCTCTCTATGGACTGACAGGAAAAAAATCTCCAGGTTATATTGTGGAGAGAAAAAAATTAAGTTGCAAAATATATATGCTGTACCTTTTGTGAGGAAGATGGCAGGGAAGGATTATATTTTTGTGTTTGTTGGTATATGCATAAAGAAATTCTGGAATGATACCCAAAAATTACTAAGGGGCTGGCTGTGTTGAAGGGGTGAGGAGTGAGCTGAATGGATGGAGAACAGTCGTGGGAAGGCGATTTTTCTCTATATACATTTTTTATTGAGCCACATAAGTCTGTCAGTACCTATCACAACATTAACTGTTGACAATGCATGGCTTTGCGCCCCGCCACTGGCGCTGACCTGCGGTGCCGCCCGCAGGTGAAGTCGAAGTCGGTGGCTCAGTGCGTGGAATACTACTACACGTGGAAGAAGGTCATGCGGCTGGGCCGGAAGCACCGGACACGCCTCGCGGAGCTCGTGGACGACTGTGTGGTGAGTGAAGCCGCCCAGTCGCTGCTTATGCTGGCCCCGCTCCCGCCCCACGCCCAGGTTAGTAAGCGGCTGCTCTTTGGTTGGGCTCTGCTGCCAAGGTGGCCGCAGTGAGGGGGTGACAAGCCCGCTCCTGGGCAGGATGCAGGCTCTGACTTCCTGACACAGAGGCAGAGGGAAGGCGGCTCAGGGTCCAGCCTGTGGCTCAGCCTGCAGTGGAGGTGGGGGAGGCTGGCCTGCGTCAGAGGCAGGTAGGAGCCAGGGAGTTAAGCCAGGGTGGCCCCAGTCTTGGGTGGGTGGTGTTTTATAAACAGGTGCCCTCACCCCCTGGCACAGTCCTTTCTGATCCTCCCACATCACAGATGCCACTGACCAGAGAACATAACATGCCTCGCAAAGATGAAGGAGCCTCATCTTTATGAGGAGGGAGCAGGAGCTTGACCTCTTGATAGTGCCCGAGCCACTCAGTTATTGGGGAACTGCTTAGCAGGGTGTGATCTCATCACCATTTATCCCTGATACTGACTTCCCTCATGAGCAGACAGTCGGTTGTTTGCATATAAGATTAAGTACATACTAAAGACATGAGATTGAAATCATCTTGGAACCCATGTGAGTGGCTTTGGTCATTACTGCCACGTTCATCCTGTGGTGAACTCTCTTCTCTGTGTCCATGGCCAGGGGACATCTCCTTCTCACCTATTGTGGAAAACACTACCTACTATGTATGTATGTGACAGTTACATGTCATGCAGCAAATTACTAAACCCCAGCCTCTGTCATCATCAGGGAACATGTTTAGAATTCATGAATGGTGTGAATATTTGTCAGACTGTCATTCCCAATAGTGCCCCGGTGTGAGTGTTAGCACATGGGTTATTTTATTGAAAAGACGCTCTCTTTGTGCCAGGCATCGTGCTGCACTTTACGAATATTGACTCATTTAATCCTCATGCCATGTCTGTGAGGTAGGAAACTGAGGCACAGAGTAAGTTAGCTATGGTCAGTGGCTGGTGAGTGTGTTGTACTAGGTCTTGAGCCTAGCTATGAAATATACACACATATATAAATTTCCATTTGGGCCCAAATATTAGACAAAATAGACATCTGTGGAATAGAATGGAATTTCCCTTCTTTGGATTAAGGTGGACAGTGTTCTGTATTGAGGGTTTCCTGTGACCAAGGCTGTTGTCTGACTGGTTTAAGTAGTGATGTCTTATATCAGAATAGCGTTTTGCTCATCTGTGGCCTAATGTTTAAAAAAGCAGTGTGGTGCTTGGGTTTGAGGTTTTGGCCAGCCTGACCCCCAGGGCCTCTCATAGTGCCCCATGCCAGAGTAAACTGTGGCCTTGAACCATTTCCTGGCCTCTGCCCCTAGGCTGCAGGCACTGAAGTGAGTTGCAGAGTGGAAAAAATAAAAAATAAATTAAAAAGCAATGTGGCCTCATCTGCTTCAATCAACTGAAACCATTGAGTTCCCACAGTGTAAACAGCAATATGTGTGGAGCAGTGGGTGACATAGCGATGTTAACTGCCTCTGCCCCTACTTTCTCCTAGGTGAGCATATGTTCTACCTGGGAAGATGTGACAGACACAAGTGGGAAGTTTACTGGGAACCCCAAGAGTGTTTAAAAGCCATATGAAATGAGAGCAGGGTTCTTAGATGTGGCCTTAGGGGCTCTCATTTTCATCCAGCTTCACCATTCCACACCCAAAAGTTTCAGACCCAGAGAGGGGGAGAGGCTTGCCTCAGGTCACCCCAAGCATTGCTTTCCAAATGCGTCAAACAGACAGTAAACAAGGAGCACAAAGGATCCTGGCCTTGGAGACCCAGGACCTTGCCCCTAGGCTGTAAAATGGAGCAAATGACTTAGATGATTTGGAAAATTCCTTCCGATTCTGGAATGTTTGGGGCTCTGTCAGAGCCATGTTTTGGATGAGGGCAGAATCAGAGGATAGGTTTCCTAAGGCAAATTGGTGTCTCTTTGGCTTGGTTGTTATCAAGTGCCTAGGATAGTGTCTGGCATAATAGAGGCACTCAACAAATACTTTGAATGAATGAATGAATGAATGAATGAATGAATGAATGAATGAACATTTTCCTGAGGTGCGTGGTAACAGTCCCTCTATAAACTCCCTGGAGGGAGATGGGATGAACGGTTGATTCTGAGCAGAGGAGTGCTACTAAGGAAGGTGTTACCACGCAAGGCAGGGGCACCAACAGGGCGCTGAAGGAGGGTAGAAGAGCCTGGCTAGCGTGTAGCTTCAGGAGGAGGAGAGGCTGAGATGGTGCCCGAGGGGCCACACCTTCTTGGGCTTAATCACCAGGAGTCAGTATTCGGCTGGATTTTATTCGGCTGGATCAGGAGCATCCACACCCTCGAGACTTCTGAGCTTAGGGAGAACAAAAGGTTATGCGCAGAGATGACTCAGGCCCACAGAAACAAGAAAGCCTTGATCTAAGGCCAGCGTGGCAGCTCCCAGCTCCCTTTGGGGCAGGCACTATGAAGGCAAAGCCTTCTGCTGATAGTTTACAGATGAAAAATTGGACTGTGCAGGGACTGGGGAGGGTGCAGAAGACGTTGTTCTAGGATAGGGGTCCTTCTCCTTGTCCTGCAGGCCTGCCTGGGATGCCTGGGGTAGCTCTCCTGATCACGTGTCCTCAGTGTTTTATTAAGGAAACGGGTGACCGTTTCCCCCAGATGGAACATGCTCAGGTAGCTTAGGGACTTGTGCAGGGACAGGGGGAAAGCTGGAGAGTTTGTGAACAACAGCAGCTCTTTAGGGAACCGGCAGGATAGTCTGCCTTCTGTCCTGAGGAAGAAGAAGGGGCCCAGATGGGCTCTGTTAAGGAGGTGGGAGGAGAGTGTGCTGACCACCCCTTCCTGTGCCCTGTCCATTCTCATGATCCCACTCCAGACAAATCTGTGGGTCTGGCTGTGACCAAAACTTAACACAATTCAGGAAACTAACTCACGCAGTTAACTGACTATGGAAGACAGAGGTCAGGGCTCTAAGGGTAAAGCCTCACCCATGGTCTATGCACCTTAGTTACCTACATCATGGTCCGCTGACCAGGGAAACATCCTCTCCCTTTGACTTTTAAAGGCAGCTGGTCCCAATGGTTCTGAGAGCCTTACGGTCTCTGTGTTTGAGCTGAAAACCTAAGCCATGTCCAAGGGGATGAACACACACCTGTGGACATTTGCAGCACGGCCAAGGGGTGAAGAAGGTGGAGGTTTGGGAGTCAACCCAGGTCTTAGATCTCAGTTCAGCTTCTTTACCAGCCATGTGACCTTGGGAAAGTTAGTTCCCTGGCGAATTTCCTCATTTGTTTAAAAAAGAAAAATTTGTCCAGGGTTGTCATGAGAGCTGGAAATGTGTGTGTGGATGCCTGACTCATAGCAGTCATTCAGTGTGTTGCCATCACCATCGTCATTAGTGACTGTAACACTCAAATTCATGTCTTGGAGTAAATATGGGTTGTTGGACATTTATGTTTTAACTTACAAATTTCTCATAATATGAATCCATTTGCAAGCCTGAGAAATAAAAATGTCCTCCACCTCAAGTAACTCTTGAAATTTATATAATGTTATTAACCAATGTTACCCCAATAAATTTAATTTAAAGAAAAGAAACTCTTACTGTGGACACTCAAGGTTTTGAGCACCATGTTAAATATATAACCACCTCCCTGTCCTGTATTTGCCCACCTTCTACCAATTTTGGAATATTACTAAGTGTTTCATTTCGCAGTACATCATAAAATGGCCAACTTGTTGACAGGAAGTTCTACATGTCAGGACTTTGGTCCCCCTATCTTTGTATCTCTTAGCCACCTTGGCGAGCCACTTGGCTTAATGATAAATCATTCCTTGAGCATGTGTAGATCACCAGTTGAAATAAAACCTATCTAAATTCCTGACATATAATCACAGGACAGTATAATTGAATCTGTAATTTTGTGGCTATCTGGAAGGTTTCTTCTCAGAGTTCCTAAGCCAAAAAAATGGCATTGTGAGAAAATTGTAATTATAACAAGTACCATGAAATAATACCATTTTTATTTAGAGTTATTATGTAATTTATTTTAAAAGCCAAGCTACAGGCCCTGGGCTGCTTTAATAAACTGATGTTTGAGACCACAGTTCCAGTTATGTAAAGGGATGGAGTGAACCCTTGCAGTTGGACATAATGTAGTTTTACCTGAAACTCTGAGACTGGAAGATGGTGGTGGATTTCATATGGGAATGAGGCCTTTAAGTGAAATCAACCTGCATGTTTATATGTTAGCAAGGAACCTACAGCTTCTATCATAAATCACTATGTAAATGTATTAGTCCTACATCTGTATTCATTGAAGTGTTTCAGCAAATATAATTATTACTAATTAATCCTAATTAACTCAGTGGAAACTGGAACCGTTTCTTAAATACACCCAGTTACTACATCGTCTTAAATATGCACATGTGATAAATACAGACACTACTGACACAATGAGGGGAGAGCTAAATGCCCCGTGTTTGCTGGCATTGCCTTTCTCCCCAACCCCAATCCAAACTGGAGGAGGAAGCGCGTGGTTTCTGGGTCCCAGGGTACCACTACTCTCAGAAATCTTTATTCTTCTTGGAAATTCTTGCTTCTGGGTTCTAAGAATCATAGGCTCACCCAGAGTTACGCCGCTGTCTAGGGAAACCACAGTGGAGCCCATGTGCTTTGAGCAGTGGTGTGTAGAGAGTGCGGCAATGTCAAATATATGGTGATGGAAGAAGTTTTGACTTTGGGTGGTGGATACACAACATACAGATGATGTATCATAGAATTGTACGCTTGAAACCTATATAATTTTATTAACCAATGTTAATAAAACCCAATACATTTAATTCAAAACAATAAAAATAAAACAATATAAAGAGAGAGCATGGCAGAGACAAAGGCCCGCCGGGTCAGAGGCAGTTGGGCATACCTTTCGTTTCCTCATTTGTAAATTGTGGGACTGTTTCAGACTATTCAGCGAGAGGGCAAATGTGAAAGCACTTTGTAAACTGTAAAGTGCTGTAAAATAGAAGCTGAAATGAGGCTGATGTAACACAGAACTCCCATTCCCTGGTCCCCAGTCCTTTCTGGGCCTGGAGGAGCCAGCATCCCTCACCCCCTGATGAGCACAGAGCAGAATGAGGTCCTTAAACAAGAAGCAGAATGAGGGCCTCCTAGACCCCTGCCCCCCACCCCGGGCACCTACTCTGAGCTGCTCCATGGACTCACTGTCTTGTTAACCTTGAGGAAGGCTCACACCTTCTGCTTAATTCTGCACCTGGTTGCTGTTCTGAAGTAATTATCCGCGGAAAATATTTTTCATGCCCTTTTTCATAGAATGCCTCTGAAAGGCATTTCTACAAGCCCATGATCAGAGACCAGGATAAGAAATGCACATGATAAGTAACAGGGACTATCCCCTTGAGTGTTCTCTCCTTTTCAAAGTCATTGTGGTTCACTCTCTGATTCTCTTTCCTGACAAGATGAGAGCAGGAGCAGATTGGGACACCCTGTGTCACGTGCTGTCCACAGGCCAAGTCAACATCTCGGGCATCTCTCGTGGAAGTGGGCTACGAGGTCTATAAAACAGATCCGGATAGGTCTTTAGTCTCTCCCCACAGGGTCCCACAGTAGTGTGTTGCTTGAAAACCCTCCGCATGACTCTGGGGACACAGACCCAAGTGGGGCAGCCTGCTGGGTTTTCGTCCGTTTCAAGGTCTGCTGATCCCAAACGGGGCAGAAACTACATACAGGAATCTCTCCTCCCTGCCTTAAAATATTTTTATATAAGTAATGAGGAGACATGGAGTGGGGCAGGGGGACTTCCTTGACCTCAGAATTCCAAGTGCCTCGTGAGACCAGAGTCCCCAGCCCAGCCCAGGGCCCTGAAGCCAGTGCAGCCTGAGTCCAGCCCCTCCTCCTCCTAGCCTGTGGGTTCTGTTCACTAAAAATGCCGTTCGGGGACTTTCCCCCTTTTGCTTTTATTGCCTTAACACTAGACGAGTGAAGAAGAAGAAGAGCTGGAAGAGGAAGAGGAGGACCAGGAAGAAGATAGGAAATCCACGAAGGAAGAGGAGAATGAATTGCCCAAGTCCCCCGAGCCGCAGCCAGGCCCCGTCCTGGCTCCCGCCGAGGGGCCGCCCCTGCAGGCCCTGGGCCAGCCCTCAGGCTCCTTCATCTGTGAAATGCCCAACTGTGGGGCTGTAAGTGTCCGCGCGTCCTCGGGGACCTGGGACTGGCGAGGGCCAGGCCTGTGGCTGTGCCTGGCTTTAAGAGACGGTGCATTTGGGAAGGGTGCAGTTTCTGCAGTGGAGGTGGGGCAGAGGGAGTCCCGTGCTGCCATGGTTTTCTGTCTTTTATCCCATTTACGCACTCAGCCAGTAGATATTTCTGGAGGGTGTGCTCTGTGTGAGGCACTGAGCTATATGCTCAGAGGACACGGAGTAGGTCCCAGCCCTCAGGAAGCGTGAGGGACAGTGCCCAGGGCTGTGCTGTGAGCTTTGGCCTCCAGAATGTATATTCTCCGCTTCTCAGTGCCTTGTGCCTCTCTGGGCCGTATGTCACTCTGGGCCATGCCCTGTTGCATTTAGTTGCACTGGGAGAGCCTGCGGAGGATGGTCCTTACGCAACGGAATTACACAGACTTAGCTAAAGTTTATCTTTGTGTTCTTTGGGGGAAACAAAACAGATCTACTAAGCAAATTAATCCTGTAAATAGACTGAAAGGGAGTCTGTGTAATTACTTAACCTAGTACTTTTCAAGCACGTTAAAAGCATCATTTAGCTAAAATAAAAGCAGTTTACCATTTGATCGCCCTGAGCACTAGAGGAAGGCCCTACAGAATGTGTCCCAGGCCTGGCTAAAGGCGTCCTGTGGATTTCTGAGGATATTTCTTAAAAGTTGTTTACCTTGGACTCTCAGTCCCCCACTGGTCCCCTGCTAGTCTGAATTATTGAGCTTTCCCCAAATCAGGTTTCTTGAAGCCGGGCACACCCGTGCAGGCAGGTTCTGGAGGTATCACTCGAAAATGAGAATGTTGTTTTTACAAGGAGCCTTGTTTTTCAAGCCTTGTTTGCTTGTCCATTATATGGACCAATGCTGGTTTCCACAGTGTACTGAATGCTGCTTATTGAGTGTGTCACTTAGGTGAAGAAAGCAACAGTCTTCAAAATATTTAGATCCTAAAGCAGAAATGCACTTGATTTACATTTAAGAAAAAAATGAAAAAAGTGTATATAGATTATGTATATGTATATACATACATTTTACATTAGTTTCAAAGAGAACATAAGACATTGCTAGCTTGTTTTGTCTTTGGTGTTTAATGAATGACCTGGGCGCTTCGGTCCATCATTGCCATTTTGTATAGAGCAGTTCCATTAAGGGACGATTAAGATGTGGCTTCAAGTGACAGTATTTCTGTGTAAATTTGTTTAGAAATTGGATGCTTCCTCAATTCATATCTTTGATGTACAGTAAATTTTTTTACCGAGTGGCACGTCATCTTCTATGTTTCCCAATCAGAAGGGCTCAGCAAGATGGATACCTTTTAATAACTTTTCAAAATCTCAGGGGGGAAAAAATGTTAGTTTTAATCCTTGCCTAACCATGACTGTTTGGGTTGCTAAATCAGCAATAGATCTTTTGTCCCTGTAAGACCACAAACAGAGCTCGTGAATTTAACACAGAACCACCACCCACGGCTGGTCCCGCTGGCTGATGTCGGGCTCTTGGAATTCAGGGGTGTGGATTCCATCCCTTTGCAGCAGTGGTTCTCAGCTAACAATGACTTTGTTCCCCCTGAACATTGGGCAATGTTCAAAGACATTCGTGTCACAACCGAGGCGGTGCCACTGGCATCCGGTGGGCAGAGGCCAGGGATGCTGCTAGCATCCTACAAAGAGCCCCCAGAGCAGTTATCCAGCCCCAAATGCCAGTAGTGCTAAGCTTGGGAAACCCTGCTTTGTGGGGTCCTTCCCCTTTTAATCATCTGTAGTAAAACAGGGGGTCTGAAACACTGCTTCAGTAATGGGCTGCTGATTGGGGTTTGGGTGTAACATATGGACTGTTAGAGGAGCCAGTCAGTGCCTTTCAAATTGCGTTCCTTAGGGTTCTAGGGCTTCCAGGGGGAGCTGAGCAAATCGGCTCAGCTCTGGGGTACTGGCTCAATTTCTGCCAGAGCTCCTCTGCTTTTAGCTTTGAGCTTTTGAGGAAGACCTGATTTGTTTTTGTCTTTTTTAAGTGAAGAAAGGAAAGGGGGGGAGGAGAAGGAGAGGGGGAGGCAGTTCCTGTCTTAAAAAACATTCGAAAGCTGGTCCAACCCCCTCCTTTTACAGATGGGGGAAAAATAAGATGGACAGAGGGGAAATGGCCCCACGGCCTTGCTGTGGGACAGGGCTGGGTCTAGCCCCCAGTGTCCCGACTTCCAGACAGTGGTTTTGTCCTTCACACGGCCACCTCACCTCTCGTCTCCTGGTTATAACAGCGGTGGGTGGGGGCTTTGGTGTAGCGTAGCATCTGAGGTTGTGGTATGTGCCCGAGTTTGCTGTGTAAAAGCCCTGTGCCTGTCGTTAGACATTGTTTCAGGTATCTCGTGTTTTTACCATTGAGTCACTAACAACCCTAATTTCCTTTTCAGGACTGTAGATGTCATGTCACTCCCTTTCTTCCCCAGGTGTTCAGCTCCCGACAGGCACTGAATGGCCACGCCCGCATCCACGGTGGCACCAACCAGGTGACCAAAGCTCGGGGTGCTGTCCCCTCTGGGAAGCAGAAGCCTGGCAGTGCCCAGAGCGGGTACTGCTCAGTGAAGAGCTCGCCCTCTCATAGCACCACCAGCGGCGAGACAGACCCCACCACCATCTTCCCCTGCAAGGAGTGTGGCAAGTAGGTAGAACTAGACCAGGGACTGAATCTGAGTTTGTGATGGATAATCATTCAGGGGGCTGGGCCAAGATGGCCTGAGGTTTCTTCAGTTAGAGAAAGAACCTGGACTGTCGGAGTTCTCCCTGATACCGTCCCTGGGGTCTGCATGAGGCCTCGGGGTGGGTGGACTTTGTCTCTGACTCAGAATATGGTCATTCTGATGTCTTAAACCTAATGAGGATGGACATCGTCAGAGAGCAAACCTCTAGTGACAAAACTTTACTCTTTTCCATAAATGGTGGATGGGACTCCGATGCCAAAGTCTGACCATCACACCCAAACCACAGTCACTAGTGTTGCTCTTTCTACATCCCTGTTAAGTTTGAGAATGGCTCTGAGACACCTAACCAGGAGCTCTCTGTAGCAGAGATGGCCTTCCTGCCACTGCTGCTCATGCCTGTGCCCATGCAGACATCACCAATCAACTGCTGCACTTTTGCTACCACATTAAGACAACACTTGAAATCCTTTCCATCATAATGCTTCAGGCTGGCCCAACCAACTGATCAGAGTTGACTCATGAGAGAAGAGCTATTTGGCATCTCTGCTCTTTTAAGGATAATTTAAAACAGCAGCGAAGAGGGAGAAACTGACTGTGGGTGGTAATGATAACAGCTAACATTTACTGTGCACTTACTTTGTTATATACTTTATGTGCATGAGCTCATTTAATCCTCAGAAACTCCATGTGGTACCGATCCTGTTTTTAATCATTCTTTTACAAAGTAGCATTGGAAGTTAGGTAAAATGACTTGCCCCAGGTCACACCACCGGTAAGAGCAGAGCTGAGATTTGAACCCAGCTGTGTTCAGGTGCAGAACCCGGGCTCCTGACCACTGCTCCCTCCTTTTGGTTTACATTGATTATTTATTTACTTTAGATAGAACATATTGATGGTGAGGTGCACGTGGTTCCCGCCCACAGCATCCAGTGTAGTATTCCAGTTTATTGCTNCATTGCACGTGGTTCCCGCCCACAGCATCCAGTGTAGAATTCCAGTTTATTGCTCAGTGAGTCTGCCTGGCTGGGAGGGGTCAGGCAANTGATGGTGAGGTGCACGTGGTTCCCGCCCACAGCATCCAGTGTAGTATTCCAGTTTATTGCTCAGTGAGTCTGCCTGGCTGGGAGGGGTCAGGCAATATGTTATGAGTGGCATCCTGTAGGACCCTCGCCGGGTTTCTCTTCCTATATTCTCCAGTGACTCCAACGGGAAGAGTAATATTACCTGGAGAGATGCCAACCAGGTAGCTGCTGAAACTACCAGGAAAACATCCCTAGTTGGATGAATGAGGCCAACTTCATAATATACATTCTCATGGAATATTTCAGGCACTTCATAGGAGCTGCCCCTTATTTGCCTGGCACGCCTTTCAGGGATTTTGCCTGTATTGAATAACTTCATCTTTACAATAGCCCTTTAAAGTAGGTACTTTCAGTAGCTTCTTTTTTATAAGCAGAGGCATTGAGGCACAAGAAGGTTAAGCTGCTTGTCATGGTGCATGGCTGAGTGGGGACTGACACCATGCAGGCCAGTCCCGGCCGGGCTCTAAGCCTCTGAGGACACCTGACTCGGTCCAGGGGCCCTGCCAGAGTTGGAGGCAGTGTCTCTCTTGCCTCTGTGAAGCGCGGAGGNGGTCCCAGCCAGGCTCTAAGCCTCTGAGGACACCTGACTGGTCCAGGGGCCCTGCCAGAGTTGGAGGCAGCGTCTCTCTTGCCTCTGTGAAGCACGGAGGTGGGAAAGGTGGATTTAGGCGTCAGTGCCCTCCTCTCTGCTCTGATGTCCTTCAGAGCCAGGACGTGATACCATCTTCATGTCACCGTGGAGGAAATGCCCGGCATTGATCATGGGGTTTATTAACTTGAAATAATGAAAACCACTCAGGTGGACTCTCATCACCTCCTGCCTGCTTTGGGGGTGTGCGGGCCAGGGGTCTAGCCGGTTTCCTGTGCGAGGAGCCAGTGCCTTCCACTCATCTCAAAGGCTGCCGCTNCTGCTTTGGGGGCGTGCGGGCCAGGGGTCTAGCCGGTTTCCTGTGCGAGGAGCCAGCGCCTTCCACTCATCTCAAAGGCTGCCGCTCCCTATTCCGTAAGGTGGAGGAAAGGGCCTTTTAACAGAAAGTAGTATTTTGAGCTTTCTGACTCTTTCAGTGACATCCATTAAATGTTTTCTCGTTTTTCTGTTACTTGGGACCTTTTCCCTTGTTTTGTTTTGTTTTGTTTTGTTGTTAATTCTCACCTGAGGATATTTTTTTTCATTGCTTTTCAGAGAGTGGAAGGGAGGGAGGAGAGAGGGAAGGGGGACAGAGGGGAACATCAGTGTGAGAGAGACACACTGACTGGTTGCCTCTCACATGGGCTCCGACTGGGGGCAGGGAGCAAACCCGCAACCAAGGTACGTGCCCTTGACCGGGAATCGAACCCGCGACCCCTTCGGTGCATGGGCTGACGCCCTAACCACTGGGAAACACTGCCCGTGGCACTTGGGACCTTTTTCTCCCATAATTCCAGTTAAGATTTTATTGGAAATAGAACTANGTAATTCCAGTTAAGATTTTATGGGAAATAGAACTATTTCCTGTGGTTTTCCCAACTAGGAGTAACAGTAGGTAAATGTTCACAGAATGCGTCTTTTAGCTGCTGAAATTCATTTTCCATGTGTCCAGCTGTGATTCATCAACTCTGACTCTGGTCTTAGGAATCAGATTTTTATTTTATTTTATTTTTTTTCCTTTATGAGTTCAGGAATGAGTATAGAGCATTTACACCACCCCTTCTCCATAAGCAGGCAGTCTCACATCTGGGCAAACTTTTTCTGAAAAAGGTCCAGATAGAATATTTTGACATGAAGGCCAGACATGGCTGTATTGCAGTAAAACTTCATTTACATAAACAGGCAATGGGCTTGCTGGATTTGGCCCACTGACCCTAGTTTGTAAACCTTATTTCAGGGCTTTTGGCCTCAGCACTGACCTTCAGGTCTGATAATTCCTTGTTTGGGGAAGAGGGGCTGCCCACTGCTTCATAGGATGTTTGGCAGCATCCCTGGCCTCTACCCATTTGCCAGAAGTAAGCCCTGACCCATGGTTGTAACAATTAGAAATGTCACCAGATATTACCAGATGTCCCTGGGGAGCAAAGTCACCCCCAGCTGACAACCACTGTTTCATTCTAAAGCAAACAGTAGAAAATGATAATAGGATGGCCAACAAGAAGGAGTCTCAGGTGAAAAGGAACAGTGGATGCAGCTCAGAAGTCAGGTACAGTGAAGACAGAAGGGCGGCCATTGGATTTGGCCACAGAATTACTGGTGACCTTGAGAAGAGCACTTGGGCTGACGTGGGGGGGCAGCAGTCCAGTTGGAGGGAGCTATACCAGTGTGTGCAGAGCCTAAAGAATTCCGACTGTGGAAGAACAGGGCCAGAGGCTGGGGGGTGATGGGCTGTTTCTCGATGGGAACTGTTAGAACTCGGCAGCATGACTTGGGGATTCTCAGGTTGATCGAAAGACTTGGTTAGTGATGGAGAGAGGAAGGGCCTGTGTTCCAGACCGCAGATGGACAGGAAGGCCTTTTAGAATTTTTCCTCCGTTGCCAAGGAAGGAAGCCTGTCATGTGTAAATGTGTTTCTGTCCCTGTCCCCTTGTAATGCTTGGAGAAGACAGAAGAGAGGTGGCAGGTTCCCGAGGGAGGAGGCCCTAGGAGCTGAGGAGCCAAGCACCCTGTCAAGCCAGCCCAAACAGATGTTGGACCGTGCGTCAGATCTCCTTCTAAAGTTCCCAGATCTCCTTCTAAAGTTCACACGCTTCTTTTTCTTCATGTTTAGAGTCTTCTTCAAGATCAAAAGCCGGAATGCACACATGAAAACTCACAGGCAGCAGGAGGAGCAGCAGAGGCAAAAGGCTCAGAAGGCGGCTTTTGCGGCAGAAATGGCAGCCACCATCGAGAGGACTACGGGGCCGGTGGGGGCGCCGCGGCTGCTGCCCCTGGACCAGCTGAGTCTGCTCAAACCCATCAAGGACGTGGACATCCTCGACGACGACGTTGTCCAGCAGCTGGGAGGCGTCATGGAAGAGGCCGAGGTCGTGGACACCGACCTCCTCTTGAATGATCAAGATCCAGTTTTGCTTCAGGGCGACACGGAGCTGTAAAGGCACGTTTGTCACCTAGAGACGACAAAATTTCTGGCCATCTCCATTCATCAGGAAGCCTGGACTGCCTGCTTGTTTTGTAACCATTTTAAACTACCTGTTTAAAAAGTGGTCATTTTATTCAGGTTTAGAAGAAAAAAATCCAGTTTCTTTTCCTTTTATTTAAGAAAAAAAAATTGTTTTTTGTGGGAGGTTGGGGGGAATAAATAATTGGCACAACTCTATTTAAGAGGTGTTTCATCTGGGCTGCATTCCCGTGAACTCATTCCCAGCAGGGAGTGGACCTGACGTTCGTGTTCTTTTGCTTTCAGATGCCAACCATCCCAGTTGCCTTTATCCCCAAACTTTCGGTGAGTGTGCGAATGCGTGTGTCTGTGCGAAGCAGGCTGCCCTCTTCTTGCTGGCGCCTTGGCCCTCCTTTCCCACCGAGAGGTATCTTTGTTCTGATCCAACCTCATTCTGTGGGGTGCCGTGAACTTGGCGCCTTTGCCAGGAGACTGTGCTAGGAGGTAGCTTTCCCCAGAGCTAAGGAAGCCTCGTGTGCCATGCTCGCCTCTGCACACGTCATTTGAAGAGTTGGCCAAATGGGAGAATTAAGTTTTCTCGCTGCCTTGCCTGTCACTTGGCCTGTTTCTAGGAGCCGAGTGCCGTACAGTTTCAGGCAGGGATTTACTGAAGACCTGGTCCGTGGAGCGGTGCCGAGGCCTCTTCCACGCTCCCCGGGGCCGCTTGGCTCCCCGGGTTGCAGAGCTATTTCAGGGAGAGCCCACTGGAGGCCCATCTGGAAGAAAATAACCCAACTATCAAGTTGCCAGGGCAGTGTTTAGGGAGGGTGGTTGAGAGGCACACGTTGAAGTCCCTGGAATGCCAAGAAGTGTTCTTCTGCCCGAAAGCTGGAGCAGAAGAGCCCATTCTGTCTTGCAACACTGCTAGTGGTCAGTGGCGTTGGGAAACGACTCGGGCCATTTGGAAGCACTGTGAAACCGCACTCACGGGATTTCGCCGTGATCATCCACGCTGGACCGAAGTTTACCGTGACGCTAACGATGAAGAAAGGGTTTTCTAAGGAATTGGATAGCACATTCACGGGAAATAGCATTAAAGGCCAACAAAAATGATTTCAGATACCACTTTAGCTACAATGTTTGCATTCAAACAGTGAATGTACTCATTAAAGTTGTTTACCAAAGCACTTCTAGAATCTTCCGAGCTACATAACTCTGCCTCCTCCTGTCCCTGTCATCAGGGTTGCTGTTCGTACTTGAAGGTAATAAACCTGTAATCCTTCAAAAATGTCTTTTAGCTCAGGCTTTTGAGCTGAGTCAGACTGACCTGTCCCACTTTTGAGGCAAATGAGTGTCCGCCTTCAGTCTGGGACAAGGCCCCAGCACGGAGAGGACCCCCCTTTAATACGTGACTTCCGGAGAGGGGGCTTTCAGGCCTTGCCCACCCCAGGTAGGCTGGCTCCCTGGCTCCTGTGGCTGTGGCAGTCATGCCCGGCCCCTTTGCTGGCACATGGCATTAGAGACAATGTCAGTGGAAGCCCGAGGATAAGTTTGACTCTGCAGAAGTATTTAGCACACGCTCCTGGCCCGCGGCGGCCCCACACAGGCAGTGTTCTCTGAATCTCAGGAAAGCCAAGGGCAGAAGATAAATACTAAGGTTTTTTTCATTTCAGTCATTCTGTTTTCAGAAAAGAGGTCTTGGAGGTTTCCTACATCTTTTCTTTAGGGGGAAAAGGGTGTTTTATTTTGCCGCCGTTCAGACAGGTCGTTTTCTCGTATGTTCTGATCTCAGACCTGCCTGGGCGCTGTGTGTCAGCTTCGTGGCAGAACCGTTCCAGAGCTATGCCAGCTGTGACGCTGGCTGATGGCGCCTGTCCCAGTGACTACTTCCCCTGCTTGCGGATGTCAGAGTGCTTCTGGAATGGTTCTGCTAGTGGGTGTATGAAAGCTTATTTATCAAAGGAGCCAACACCCAGGAAAATGTTTATAAAGCAAACGTATTCGTTCTGTTTGGAGACTTGCCCAGCCGTTCCAGTTTTAAACATTAAAAATAAACTTGAGTTGCCAAGGCAGAAATATAATGCACAATTTAATTTTGATTTTCCATGCAGTATAGTATAAGCATTTTTGACTTGAAATAACCAAAGAACTCCTCCTTAATGAGACAGTTCAAATTCCTGAATTAGTATTTTTTGACAATATCAACTTCAAGAATTGACTTCATAGTAAAACATTGTACTTTTTTTTTTTTCCTGAAATGATTCTGTCTGCATGTATGTGTTGTGTTTTAGATTCTCCCACCCCTTCCAGCCCCAAAGAACTTCTCTTCCTGAAGGTCAATGTCTTCACGGTTACTGTTTACTATCAGATGGTTTTTCATTAGTGAATTTAGATCTCTTTGAGAAAGCTTGTATATAAAAAGTTAACAGATATATTTTATGGAAAAACCCATCTTATTTTCAAATATATTTAACTGCTGTTATATTTTATTAGAGGAAGGTTGTAAATATTTTCTAGGAGTTCTATTGTAAAGAAAAGTATTTTTGAAAAAAATTAATGTAATAAAAACGAAAACATTTTTAAATAGTGGTTGTGATTGCTTCCTGTTCTGGCTTCGTTATGTTCTATTCTCAGCAAATGACTTGCATGCCTTCCCATTTCAGGATGTAATTTATTCAGGTTTGCACTATAAGTTGACATCATAATATCTAGTGTGCTTAACTGTATTGTCTCCGGAATGCAGGTCCCTTGGTCCATATCAAAAGCACTATGTATAGCATATTCATAATTTTTCTTTTGTAATGTGTGTATTTTTAATAAGGATTTTATGTAACATTTTGGCAAAAAGAGGGCAGTATTTTCTAGTGAATTTTATAATACATTTTGCTAAAAATGTTTCTTCCTAGGTCAGTTTTTGTTAAGGTGAACCAAAAGTCTTATTTTACCAGGGGTTTAAAAAAAGTTTGAAGCTTGAAAGCAAAGTTATATTTAAACATCACATGTACAAATAAATAAAGATGTTTTATAGACTTGTGCTAAAAAGGTGCATTCCTTAAAAACAAAAACATCTGGGGCATTCTAGGTTGGTCTCCCTCCCCTCCCCAGTGATAAGTATTTTATAAAATTATCACAATTTTTTTTTTCCAGATAGAAAGCCAGGAGACCTTTACTTAAAAGATTCCAGTCATTAGCCACAGAAATTTATGACAGTTCCTATAGAGAGGCAGTTTTCAAACAGAGATGTAACCAGATAGCCACTGTCTTATTTATTTGTGAAAACCTGACTCAATATTGCATCAGCTGCTCTGAAAATAAAATGTTATCTTTCTGAGTTTCACTTGGCTTAAACATTCCTTATTTCTAGCTACTGAAATGACTTCTCAATGCTGGATAAATGCTAATTTGCCTGTTAGTTGATTTCTCTAGACCGGTTTAGAGGTGTGCGGGTTGGATTTAATGCTCATGAAAGTGCGCCCGCCCCACCCTGGAGGCCAGGACAGAAATTTCTGCTACTCGAGCCAAGCCGTGGATGAGCCACTTGGAGAGTTGGTGGTCTCTAGCCATTAGGCGGCTCGTATTCACAAAGGTGTCTCACAGTCTGCATGCTTTGCTAATCTGGATTTCCAGATTCTAAAGAGTGTGTTTACTTTTTAATGGTCAACAATAAACTTCAAGAGAAATCCGAAATTCTGGATTCTATACAGAATTTGCTTTAAGTGGGGCACACCTGTTAAGACCTTGATCTTCTAGGTTCTTTTGTTTTACTTTCATTATCAGTGTTAAGCAGCTATTAGAAGCACTGTGTGTTGGCCCGTGTTGTAAATTTAAATTCTGCTTCCAGGGGCTCAGGTGTCCAATCTGAAGGCTTCTCCTACTGTTATAGTCATCCATTCAGTACTCGGGAGCCCTGTGTACCAGGCACTATTCCACACTGTATTATACCCAGGAGAGTTGAGCGTATAAAAATGACTGTGACATCATTCCTTCCTGCCAAAGAATTCAATACTTAGAAAGAGCATACAGGACCCTGGGAACTGATCCAAGTCCACCGCTGGGAAAAGCAAAGGTCATGCTTTATTAACACTGAACTGCCTCACCATTACCCACACATACACAGCAATTTAAACTAGGAGCTCAACTATTAGTTAAATTAATTATCGCTAATCTTTCAGGCATGCTTATCCGTGTGTGTGTGTGTGTGTGTGTGTAAATAAAACCTTCTGAAGTTACCTAAAGTCAGTTCTGAATTCCAGACTCCTCAGCCACAAGCCAGCTGGCTGAAGTTTGCTCCAGGAATGAGGATGAGCTTTAATGTTGACACAGCAAAACAATTAGGAAGGCATGTTAAGAAACTGAATAATATATTCCTAAGTGAACCACAGTGATCTTTGGATCACAGACATCCCTGTATAAAAGAGCCCAAGGGCTGATTATTTCCTTTATATGAGATAGAATCTTTTGAAAAGGGCTGTTCTCCCCCACCCCACCCCAAGGGAAGTGTTTGTTTCTGTTTGAGCTGTGAAGGCCCGACAGCCCCACGGGCTTGCTTTGCATTCTGGCACACAGGCTGTTACAGGCAGTATCCATCTCTCCTTTGGCTGTTTTGGGTCATTGCTTCCTCTGCTTGTGCAGTTTTATTTTTGGCATTAATGCCATTTTTAACTACTTTATTGAGGTATGATTGACTAAAAAGCTATGCATATTTATTGTATACAACTTGATGAGTTTGGAGTTAACCATGAAACCATCACAACCAAGAGAAAAGGACTATCCTTTAAAATAGAACCACTGTTGCAATCAAATATGATACAACAGAAATATTTGGTGTACATACTTTTATTTTTCCTGGATATAAAGCAAGCTGGACTCACATCAACTCTCCTGAGTTATTTGACCTCCTATCCATCTATGGTAGGTGAGAGGTTTGAAAGTTCAGGTGGTGGGGAAGAGACCTACAATGGGTCAAGCTTCTGAACATGGTCCTTGCCCACACAACATACTTAGAGCCCTGTCCACAGCCCCACCATTGGCAAAACCTGGGTTTGCCCCTCACAATGACTCCCACCTTGTCCCCCACTAATTGGACCAGGGTTGGCACGTGACTCCAAGCTATTAGACCCGTAGGCCATTAGGTGACACATGGCATGGCTTAGCCCAGGAAAATGAGGGGACCAAGTCAAATTCCCACATTTGAGAGCATGAATGGAAACTCTTGATGAGCCAAAGGCAGCAAGCAGTGGCCACATGCAAGGCAGAGTTCTGAGGAGCAGAAACTATTTGTAAGCAGAGAGAGCCCATCAATAAAGAAACCATGTTTGGCCACAGGAATGGAAAGGGTATCCAGTCCTTAAGGGTGCTTTGAGCCCATGTATCCAGTTGTAAGAGCAGTCCTGGCCACACATATGTTTTAAAATTAAATACCTTTTGTTGCAAGAGGGTGGGGAAATGGGAATCTCTAATCTTTGTACCCAAAGAGACTTAAATAGAACTGGAGCTGATCATAGGGTTGGCACCAGCCGGCTGCAGGGGTGGAAAGGCATTGAACTAGGATCTTGAAGATGGTAACTATTTCAACTGCAGCTAACTCAACGGTATGACTTTCTGTGAGTCACTGCCATCTCTGAGCCTCAGTTTCCTCACTTAGAAAATTAGGATAAAGTGTCCGTCTTCTTGTGAGGATCAGATTAAGTAGCATAGGTGAAAGTCATTGGCAAGCTGTAATGTCAAAGGGGGACTCAAAAGGGACAGAGGTAGGCTGAGGAGCCATCAGAGAGGTTGCAAATGGGCTGGTCCAAACTTCAGAAGCAGCAACAGAGTTGAAGAGCTGCTGGGAACCCCACTGGCTGAGAGAGGCCAGCCAGCTTTGCATGTCACCGTTCACAGAGGAAACCTGAAAAGGGCACTGGGCAGCCTGTCAGGTGTGGCAGAGCTGAGCACAGCAGAGGTACACATTGTAAAGTGTGGTTTCCATGCTCTGGGGTAGGACCGCACTGGGCACCTCTGCCACACCTTCACGTGGACTGAGTCCTGGTAAACAGAGGCCAGTCTAAGGGGCAGGAAGAGTGGGTTTTCGTCCTAGATCTTTCATCAGTTTGTGTGACAGTGGGCAAATCATTCTCTCTTCCTTGGTTCACTAGCCTCCAAATTAGAGTGGGGGGG